CCACTTTCGTTTCGCCAGCTGCTGTTTCGCTCGCTTTTTCTTCGCCGTTTTCTGTCGTCCGCGTTCGATTCGTCAGCTTGCGCTTCGCTCGCGTTCGCTTCGCCCGCTTACGTTTCGACAGCTTTTGCATCGCCAATGATTAGATGTCAGATGAATCAACAGCCAGGCAACTCGAAACCGGGCGAAGCAAAACCAGATGGGTCAAAGAAGGCGAGTCGAAACACTGATGAATCGGAGCAAATGAATCAAAACGGGCGGCTCAAAACGGATGATACAAAAATCTGGCGAACGGAACGGGATCCTTACCCCGCCACCCTGACGTTTCAGCCGTTCCCGTTACGCCTGCTTCCGTTTCGGCTGCGTCCGTTTCGCCTGGTTGCGCTACTCTTCGGCTCGCCAGTGATTCTGTGCCGAGCGAGCAAAATTTGACGAATCACAGCCAGATGAATTGAACCTTAGCAAATTGAATCGGAATGAACTTGAACCCGTGCGAATCGGAACTGGATGGTTCAAAACGAGCCAATGAAAACTTGTGAATCGAAATGGGTGAATCAAAGCGGGCGAGTCGAATCAGATGAATCAAACGTCGGCAGAACAAAGCAAAGCTCTAGAAGGGCGGCCCACGCTGAGGCGAGAGCCCATTCTGAATGGCGAAAATAGCGTGCCCATCCTGCAGTGTGGCCAGCAAGCGGGAGCACCAATGATGAAGGACCGAGAGCGTTCCGATCGAAATGCACAAACGAGAGAGACCGGGGTTTGAAATCACGTGTTGGGGCGGCGGCACCACTGGACAGCAACAGGGAAGAATTGCAGAACCTTGGACAGAGGAGGGAGGAAGGGAGGCAGGAGAAATGAGAGAGGATACGCAGTAATCATGAAGAGGAAGAGACACAGTAAAGGAGGAGGGTAGGAGAAGGAGAAGGAGAGGGAGGAGAAGGACGAAGAGGAAGAGATGAGGGGAGGGCGAGGAGGAGGATACGGAGGAAGAGAAGAAGGAAGAGGAGAGGAAGAGGAGGAAGAGAGGAGGGGCAGGAGAGGTGGAAGGTAGAGGAGGAGAAGGGCATAAGGAAAAGGAACAGCATGACAAGGACAATCAGGAGGAGAAGGAGAGAGAGAGAGAGCACTTGATTGCACAGGAGAGAAGGGAGGAACGGAGGAACGGGAAGGACGGAGGGACGACGAGGGAGGATGTCGGGGCTCCTGGGAGGCCGACGAAGCCTGGATAGCAGCGTTCTGGTAGGCCATCATCATCTGGCACTTCTCCTGGACAGGACAAGACAGGACGCCGACAATCATCCAAGAAGACGGCCGTAGAGAGAGCACGGCCCGGCGGTGGCACCGGAGCGCTGGAAGAACGTTGGCTCCCCTGATGCCAGAAGTGCGATATGGAGCTTTGCCCGTACATGATTTCGAAGCGAACGCAGTTAGAATTCCCAAGGGAACGGGAGGAGACAAAAACGGCGAAAACAGCACTTCTCATGGAGGAGGGACTCAAGACAGCCCACGGCGACGGCAACACCGAAAACCGACCGAACCGACCGCGACACTGAAATGTACAGGCCGCGAGCAGCTTAGTTTGAAAGGCGTAGCGGCGCGGCAGCGGCGCAAGAACCAACCGAACCGAACCGACCAAGCCCAACCAAGTGCGACGCAGCCAAACCGATCCTCCTCCTCCCATCGTCTTCCTCCCTCCTCCTACCTCCTCCTCCTCCTCCTCCTCCTCCTCCTCCTCCTCCTAGTTCCGCCCTCCTCCTCCTCCTCCTCCTCCTTTTCCTCTCCTCCTCCTCCTCCTTCTCCTCCTCGTTCCTCCAGCTCCTCCTCCTCCTCCTCCTCCTCCTCCACCTTTCCTCCTCGCCCTCCGCGTCCTTCTCGTCCTCCTCGTTTTCCTCGTCATCGTCCTCGTCCTCGTCCTCGTCCTCGTCTTCCTCCTCCTCCTCCTCCTCCTCTCCCTCCTCCTCTCCCTCTTCCTCCTCCTCCTCCTCCTCTTCTCCTCCTTCGTAGTCTTACTCTTCTTATTCATGGTATTCTTATTATGTTGTCATATTAGAATTCTTTTTATTAGTATTGAAATCATCATTAATGATATTAGTATTCGTATTAGTATCACTAGTATTAGTAGTATTAGCATTTATATTAGTAATCGTATTATTAGTAGTAGTCGTAGTAGTAGTAGTAGTAGTAGTCGTAGTAGTAGTAGTAGTCGTAGTAGTAGTAGTAGTAGTAGTAGTAGTAGTAGTAGTAGTCGTAGTAGTAGTAGTAGTAGTAGTAGTAGTAGTAGTAGTAATAGTAATAGTAGTAGTAGTACGAGCGGAGTCCACAACAGACCCCTGGTCGTGCTGATGTTGTGTCATGGTGATGTGATGATGGTTGATGATGGTTGATGATGATGTTGGTTGGTGATGATGTTGGTTGATGATGGTGTTGGTTGATGATGATGGATTATTGATGTGATGATGTTGGATGGTGATGATGGTTGAACATGTAGCGGTCGTGTAGTGGTAGTGTACTGGTAGTGTAGTTGTAGTGTAGTGGTAGTGTACTGGTAGTGTAGTTGTAGTGTAGTGGTAGCGTAGTGGTCGTGTAGTGGTAGTGTAGAGGTACACAGGAGTGGGCTGGGGACAAACCAGGACCAGGCATCCATGCACCCTAGGAGACCCCAAAAACGCCCCAACAGGCCTCTGAAGACGGACCTAGGGAACCCCCCAGAGGCCTCCCAAGTGGGACCCAGGGTCCCTCAAGACACCAAGGGGCCTCCCAAGACGGACCCAGGAGACCAATAAGAGACCCAGAGCCTCCCAAGGCGGCTCCCTCCCTCCCTCCCTCCCTCTCTCCCTCTCTCCCTCCCTCTCAGAGCCTCCCAAGAGCCAGGAGTCCCCTAAGAGACCCAGAGCCTCCCTCCCTCCCTCCCTCTCACCCTCCCTCCCTCCCTCCCCCTCCCTCCCTCCCTCCCTCCCTCTTCCCATAGCCATTTTTGGCCCAAGACGGCTCAGGGAGGATGCCTCGCTGTGACCGGTGCCGTGCTAGGCACGTCCTTGGGGTGCTCCTCCGCAGCACTGTGGTGTTGTGCTTGGACTGCTATGGGGAGCGCCAGGACGAGCTCGAACCGGGGCAGGAGCCTGACGACAAGGCTTCAGGAGACAAAAGACAGAACTGGCGCCATCCTGACCAGCATGTCTTGCCGAGTCCAGCCGTGCAAGTGGGACCATCCTGACCAGTACCGTACGGGTTCCTAGGGATTCCCTACGATTCCTAGGGATCGTAAGGATTCCTAGGGATCCCTGGGAATCCCTAGGAATTCTGAGAATCCCTACGGATTCCTACGGATTCTGACCCAGACCCCTGCTCAGGCGGAAGAGTGGCTGTCCGCCTCCGAAGAGTCGGACGAGGAAGAGGTCTTCGAGCCCAGCGAGGGCGACGAGGTCGAGCCTGAAGCGGAGCCAGAACCAGGGAAAGAGGCCTCCGCAAAACGGCAAAGGACCCAGTAGGCAGTGCCAGGTGTGCGGTGAGTATGGGCATAATGCCCATTCCTGCCCAAAGTTGGCCCTGAAGCTCTACGCTCTTGTGAAGTGCAGCCACGCGGTGAAGGACATCCGCTCTTTTGTGGAGGATGCGGACAACGCGGGCGGGGTCAAGGTCACTGGCCTGCCAGGGGTGCACGGCAACGGGAAGAAGCGGAAGAGGTACAAGGGCCACTGCAGCCGGGCGCCTGCGAAGAGGTCCTGCCAAAGGGGGACTGGCCTGGGCGGGGGAAAGGCGCGGGAAAGGTGCAGGAAGCAGCGCTCCGCGGCACGCCTGAAGCGGAAACGCAAGCAGGTACAAACCCTGAAGGACCAGCGGAACTACAAGAGGAGGGTCAGGAAGCAGGAGGCCTTTGTCATCGATGACAAAGACGAGCTTGGTACTCTCGACTGTGCGAACCTCAGGCGGGAGAAGACGGCGTTCTCCAGGCTCTGCACCTTGGGGTGGGCGTACAGGCCTTCCTCTTGCCCAGCTTGCAAGCAGAAGGGCCTGCGCATGGAGTTCTGCAAGGACAAGTTTTCTCCCTTGCGTTTCAAATGCGACAGGAACAGCTGCAAGAGGCGGTGGTCACCGCTGCGCTTCACTTTCCTGCGGCAGGTGACCATGCGGGGTGTGGGCTTGCAACAGGTCGTGGCCATCTTGGAGGCGTACTATGGGGTGCATAGTGAGACTCCTGGCAAACCGCCCTCTGTGCAGATGGTCTCCAAGATCTTGGGCTACAAGTGGATTGGAGGGGGCAAGCTCGTCCGCAAGGTCGTGCACGACATCGGCCATGCGGAGGCCAGCTACGGCAAGCACCTGCAGTCTGAGCGGAAGCTGTCTGGCATCGTCGAGGTGGATGCTACGTGCATTAGCTCGTTCTGCTGGAAGGACTCCAGGTATTCTTTTTGTTGGGCCTTCGCCTACGATGCATATCAGGAGAGGGGACGGAGGAAGGAGGAGGGAGGGGGTATGATGTCGGCGCGAATGCGCCCACCTCCAACCCCCCTCCCTCCTCCTTCCTCCTTCCTCCTTCGCCCTTCCTTATCTGCATCGTAAGCTTAACTCCCAGGTACCACTACCAGCTCTTCGTCGCCGTCCAGCGGCAGCGCCAGGATGGGCATGGCTTGCAGGCTTGCATCTACCAGATGGCCCTAGGCAAGACCAAGCAGGCGTCTGCGCCCCCAGTGGAGGATCGGGTCAAGGCTTGCGGCGGTTTCGAGTGCATTGACACGAAGCAGACGGACTGCATGGTGTCAGATGGTGCGCGGCTGTACCCAACGGTTGCGAATTCCCTGCGGGTGCCCCATTACCATGTCGCTCATGGCAAGGGCGTTTGGGTGCGGGAGGTGCGCAGGGGCAGGAAGCCGAACCTCAGCGTCCATTCGGGGACCATCGACAACTTCTGGACGCAGCTCAAGAACGCCATGCCTTCCCTGAGAGTTACCACAAACCCGAAGACGCAGGATGTCAACCCAGAGGAGATGCGCTACGCCCACTAGTGCTCCATGCGCTTGCACAAGCAGGACGTGCCACCATCTGATCTGATGAAGGAGGTGGGCGCGTATGTGAAGGCGCACACTTTGCAGTTGGTGTAGTCTGGGACGTTTCCTGGACCGCGGGCTGAGGGCACTGTGTAGCTGTAGTGTTACGATCCGCCTACAGGACAGGAGGAAGGAGGAGGGAGGGAGTGCGGGAGGGAGACAGGGAGGGAGGGAGGGGTGGAGGGAGGCTGGGCGAGGGGAGGCGAGCAGGGGGGCACTTTGAAACCGCTGTACTCTGAGCCGCCTACACGACCGCGGTGTCAGAGCAACTCTGGGGGCAGGGTTGCGCAGAAAAAGTACACTCTCTTGCTCTCTGGGCAGGACGAGGAGGAGGAAGAGGAGGAAGAGGAAGAGTACACGTGTTTATGTTCATATGGGTTCCTTGGGTTCCTAATAATCCTAAGGGTTCATAGGGATTCAGAGGGATTCCTAGTCATCCTCAGGGTTCCGATTGGTTCCTATGGATTCCTAGGAATTCCTAAAGGCTCCTAGGGATTCGTATGGGCTCTTACTCTCAGGGAGTCCTAAGGGCCCCTAGGAAGTCCCAGGGATTCCTAGGGATTCATATGGATTCTTAAGTATTCCTAGGGATTCCTATGGAATCTTACTCTTAGGGATTCTTAGGGGTTCCTAGGGAGCCCTACGGATTCCTAGGTACTCCTGAGAATTCCTGGAGGTTCCTAGAGATTCCTATGGACCCCTATGGATTCCTAAGGGAATATTACTCTTAGGGATTCCGTACGATTCCTCGGGGTCCCTAGAGATTCCTAAGGATTCCTAGGGAGTCCTAGGGGTTCCTAGGGAACCCTAGGGATTCCTATGGAATCTTACTCTCATGGGTTCCTACGGGTTTCCTAAGGGTTTCTATGAAGTCCTATGGATTCCTAGGGAGTCCTAGGGATTCCTATGGATTCCTATGGCATCTTACTCAAAAGGGTTCCTGAGGGTTCCTAGGGATTCCTACGGATTCCTAGGGATTGTTACGGGCACCTAGGAATTCCTAGAGATTCCTAGAGATTCGTAGGGCATCTTATTCTTAGGGATTCCTAAGGAGTTCTAGAGATTCCTAGGGGGTCCTAGGGAGTCCTAGGAAGTCCTAGGGAATCCTAGGGAGTCCTAGGGACTTTTGCTCTTAGGGATTCCTAGGGAATCCTAGGGAGTCCTAGGGAATCCTAGGGAGTCCTAGGGGTTCCTATGGGTTCCTAGGAATTCCAATGGGCTTTTTTTATAGGAATTCCAGAGGATTGCAACCATACCCTACACGCATACATACTACACATAGCATACATGCATTACTACGTAATAGATCCAGACATACATACCTATATACACTATACACATAAACGATACCACACATCACACACCATATGTACACTCACACACATACATACATAGGTACACATAGACATAGGTACACATACAGATGTACATGTATGCACACATATACAAATATACACATGTACGTATACCACATATAATATAACACGTATACAGATAACACACATATATATAACATGTGCTCAGGGGTCTGGTATGGACTCGCCGGGTAGTAGTAGTAGCAGTAGTAGCATTACTAATAACAGTATTAATATTATTAGTATCATTAGCCGTATTATTAGTACTACTAATATCAGTAGTACCACTATTACTATTAGTATACGTATCAGCATTGGTAGTATTATGATTAGTAGTATGAGTATTACCAATATTACTATCATCAATCGTGTTATTCTTATTTTTATTACTATTATTATTATTCATATGAACAGTATTATTATTACGATTCGCATTCGTCATATTCTTAGTTTTATTATTATTAGTATTGCTAGTATTGTTCGTAGTCTTAGTGTTCGCCTGCTTAGTAGTGCTCGTATCGCGTTTCTTCTTACTCGTCTTATTCGTACTACTATTAGTAGTATTAGTAGTGTTAGTAGTAATAGTATTGGTATTGTTAGTGGTAGTGGTATCATCATTAATCGTAGTATTATTACTAGTACTATTGCCATTATTATAATGATTCTATCATTATACTAGTGTTATCATTATTATTAAGCGTGCTATTACTATTCTTAACGATAATTACTGTTATTCATATGATTCCTCTTCCTCCTCCTCCTCCGCCTCCTCCTTTTCCTCCTCCTACTCCTCCTCTTCCTCCTCCGCCTCCTCCTCCTCCCCCTCCCCTCCTCCCTCCTCCTCCTCCGCCTCCTCCTCCTCCGCCTCCGCCTCCTCCTCCTCCGCCTCCTCCTCCTCCTCCGCCTCCTCCTCCTCCTCCTCCTCTCCTCCTCCTCCTCCTCCTCCTCCTCCCCGCCCCCTCCTCCTCCAGTTTGAATCGGGAACCCGGGCACATGTCCACCTTTTAGACACATGTCCTCGTATCGGCCGGAAGCCCATGCAAAAATACACGGGGGCGCGCCCATCCGGGGATTTTTCTCGGTGCCCGATCTAGAGGGCGGCATTTCACCAAGGCACCCGCGACAAGGCACACCCTCGCATTTAAAAATTACGACACACATGGCGAGGAGAGGAAAAATGAGGAAGCAGGATTATCCCGGCAAAGCAACCTAACAGCGACGTGTAGGAGCATATCTGGAAGCATTCCCCTTAAGATTCAGATGAGAATCCAGTTGTAGAATTCTGCTGTTCTCGCAGTCGTAGTCGCATTCGCGATGACAGTCGCAGTGGCCTGCATCAGCCTCAGCCTCAGCCTCAGCCTGCCTCAGCATCAGCCTCAGCCTCAGCCTCAGCCTCAGCCTGCCTCAGCCTCAGCCTCAGCCTGCTTCAGCCTCAGTCTCAGTCTGCTTGCAGCCTCGGCCTCAGCCTCAGCCTGCCTCAGCCTCAGCCTCAGCCTCAGCCTGCTCAGCCTCAGCCTCAGCCTCAGCCTGCCTCAGCCTCAGCCTCAGCCTGCTTCAGCCTCAGCCTCAGTCTGCCTTCAGCCTCGGCCTCAGCCTCAGCCTGCCTCAGCCTCAGCCTGCAGCCTCAGCCTCAGCCTCAGCAGCCTCAGCCTCAGCCTGCCTCAGCCTCAGCCTCAGCCTGCCTCAGCCTCAGCCTCAGCCTGCTTCAGCCTCAGCCTCAGTCTGCCTTCAGCCTCGGCCTCAGCCTCAGCCTGCCTCAGCCTCAGCCTGCAGCCTCAGCCTCAGCCTCAGCCTGCCTCAGCATCAGCCTGCCTCAGCCTCAGCCTCAGCCTGCCTCTGCCTCAGCCTCAGCCTGCTTCAGCCTCAGCCTCAGTCTGCCTTCAGCCTCGGCCTCAGCCTCAGCCTGCCTCAGCCTCAGCCTGCATCAGCCTCAGCCTCAGCCTCAGCCTGCCTCAGCATCAGCCTGCCTCAGCCTCAGCCTCAGCCTGCCTCAGCCTCAGCCTCAGCCTGCTTCAGCCTCAGCCTCAGTCTGCCTTCAGCCTCGGCCTCAGCCTCAGCCTGCCTCAGCCTCAGCCTGCATCAGCCTCAGCCTCAGCCTCAGCCTGCCTCAGCATCAGCCTGCCTCAGCCTCAGCCTCAGCCTGCCTCAGCCTCAGCCTCAGCCTGCTTCAGCCTCAGCCTCAGTCTGCCTTCAGTCTCGGCCTCAGCCTCAGCCTGCCTCAGCCTCAGCCTGCCTCAGCCTCAGCCTCAGCCTCAGCCTCAGCCTGCCTCAGCCTCAGCCTGCCTCAGCCTCAGCCTCAGCCTGCTTCAGCCTCAGCCTCAGTCTGCCTTCAGCCTCGGCCTCAGCCTCAGCCTGCCTCAGCCTCAGCCTGCCTCAGCCTCAGCATCAGCCTGCCTCAGCATTCAAAATGTGGCCCGGGAATGGAATTCTGGGAACTCGAAGAACACGAAGTGGCCTACAGTTGGCTCCGGGCATTCAAAATGTGGCCCGGGAATGGAGTTCTGGGAAGTCGAAGAGCACGAAGTGGCCTACAGTTGGCTCCGGGCATCCAAAATGTGGCCCGGGAATGGAGTTCTGGGAAATCGAAGAGCACGAAGTGGCCTACAGTTGGCTCCGGGCATTCAAAATGTGGCCCGGGAATGGAAGAATTCTCGAAGAGCACGAAGTGGCCTACAGTTGGCTCCGGGCATCCAAAATGTGGCCCGGGAATGGAGTTCTGGGAAGTCGAAGAGCACGAAGTGGCCTACAGTTGGCTCCGGGCATTCAAAATGTGGCCCGGGAATGGAGTTCTGGGAACTCGAAGAGCACGAAGTGGCCTACAGTTGGCTCCGGGCATTCAGAATGTGGCCCAGGAATGGAGTTCTGGGAAGTCGAAGAGCACGAAGTGGCCTACAGTTGGCTCCGGGCATTCAGAATGTGGCCCGGGAATAGAGTTCTGGGAGGTCGAAGAGCACGAAGTGTGTGACTGTTTGCGAAAAACGAGTTCGGACCCAGCTCCCCGGATGCCGCCCGGACCACCCTGTGGAGTCATCTGCTGCTCTCTCTTGACCCCACTAGAAACCTATCAGTCTTCGCTGTTAGGTATTATCCCGGCAAAGCAACCTAACAGCGATGTGTAGGAGCATATCTGGAAGCATTCCCCTTAAGATTCAGATGAGAATCCGGTTGTGGAATTCTGCTGTTCTCGCAGTGGTAGTCGCATTCGCGATGACAGTCGCAGTGGCCTGCATCAGCCTCAGCCTCAGCCTCAGCCTCAGCCTCAGCCTCAGCCTCAGCCTCAGCCTCAGCCTCAGCCTCAGCCTGCCTCAGCCTCAGCCTCAGCCTGCTTCAGCCTCAGCCTCAGTCTGCCTTCAGCCTCGGCCTCAGCCTCAGCCTGCCTCAGCCTCAGCCTGCATCAGCCTCAGCCTCAGCCTCAGCCTGCCTCAGCTCAGCCTGCCTCAGCCTCAGCCTCAGCCTGCCTCAGCCTCAGCCTCAGCCTGCTTCAGCCTCAGCCTCAGTCTGCCTTCAGCCTCGGCCTCAGCCTCCGCCTGCCTCAGCATCAGCCTGCATGAGCCTCAGCCTCAGCCTCAGCCTGCCTCAAAAATCAGCCTGCCTCAGCCTCAG